CAGAAATGCTCTATTTAACAACATACTCAAATTTAATATATTTTCATCATATATTTTGATCATATTACCCAGTTTTCCATTTTGTAACAACTGCTGCTTACAAAAGACCTGCCTGAAGGGAGAAAAGAACTGCTGCTTACAAAAGACCTGCCTGAAGGGAGAAAAGAAGCACAGTTTGGGGGATGGGGTGGGCAGGTGGGCATTCCCCATCCAGAATGGGGAAGCAATACATTGAGGGGAAGCAGAGACTGTGAAGACTAAGCGATGAATTACTAAGTCATCACGATTAGAAAGATTAAGGCAATGAAGATATAGGAGATAAATAATAATAAACTCAGAGCACAAAATAAAAAGTTCTCCATAAAGAGACTGAATTACAGCATGTCTCCCTTTGCAGACCACAACCTTTTACTTTTACCCATAGAATAAATAGGCAGTAAATGCCAATAGGAATTTTCACTGTGGGGATATATTTTAAAATGTATTTCAAGATACATAGACTGAGAGCAGATAAACTATGTGACATAAAAATGATGAACTTCTGTCATGAGTTTATTTTACTGTTGGAACATGTGCTGTGGTTATAGAATATAGTTTAACTCTACCATGAAGTTTTGTTCCAAATAAACAGGGTGGCCAAAAGTGGCAAAATTTTGCCTATCAATGTAGTATATGTGGGATTTCACATGGCAAAAAGGAGAAAGATTCACTTAATCTGATGAACAGAGGCAAGACAAACTAAAAATGAAGGTTATGCTATAATTTGTCAATTTGCTTAGGGCTAGGGAAATTCATTCCCAAAACATTTATGGAATACCTACTGCACGCCAAATTCTATTGAAAGTGTTTGAGACAGATCAAGAAACAAAGTGTCCTGTCTCTCTGGAGCTTACACACTAATGGAAGGAGACCGTCAGCAAACAAGGATGTAATAATTAAGAAAATTAAGCTGAGCAGTAGAAGTTGACTGCCATGTGGTAAATACAAAAAAGAAAGTTATGAGGGGACTCATTATAGCAGGAATGAGGAAGAGGGCATAAGGTTTGGTAATAATATTAAAAACAGCAATCTCAGTAGGCCTTATTGAAAAGGACCTTTGAAAAAGATTTCAAGGAGGTAAGGGTGAACCATGCAAACACAAAGGAGAAAAGTATTCCAGGCAGACTCTGAGGTGAGACCTACCTAGGATGGTAAAGGAACAGCAAGAAGATCAGAGAAGTGGTAGCCAAATGAGTGAGGGGGGAAGTCCTAAGAAATGGAGTAAAGGACTTGTCCCTTATTTATCTTCCTAACGTTTCTTACAAAGTCTCTGTATGCTGGTTTCTGGAAAAGCAGTCCACAAGCTGACAGACATTCATAGTATGGCTGGAACCCGGCTGAAGTAAGGGAGGTATCTAAACACAATATTCATTTATTTATTTATTTATTTATTTATTTATTTATTTATTTATTTATTTATTTATTTATTTATTTTAAATAGAGGCTTTTTTTTTTTAATTTATTTGTTTGTTTTGTTTATACATGCACTGGGTACAGTCAGAAGCGTGGGAAGGTGAGAGAATTCACCAGAGCCAGAGCGGGGAGCAGAGCAGGCAGAAGGACCGAAGTACACTGCTGAGGGGAGCAGCGGGCGGCAGGAGAGGTCTGCGCGCCATGTGGGACCCTCCTTGGGTGGCCGGGGAGCAGCCGGGGATCGAACAGGCGCCACAGAGGCCTCGGGCAGCTTCGCAACCCAGCGCTCAACCGCTGTGCCACTAGGGAGGCCCTAAACACAATATTTAAAGAGACAATCAGGCCCAGGTGCCAACTCTGGTACTTAGAGTGAGTATCTCCTAAAATTTCGTGTGTGAAGTACCTCACTTGTCTTACCTTAGTCCTGCTCCTGCTTCAGAGAATGTCTGCTTTGTATACGTGCTCACAAAACAGGCTGGAATTTCTCTTCTCCAGTCAGTCCTTTCTTTCCCCCCACATCTGGCATCTCTGCTAGAACTATCTATGCTGTGCGTGGGCGCACACGCACACACACGACCAGGAGGCAAAGCTGGACAATGATGAGTTTCCTGCTATCTGTGGTGGCCCTCCGCCTTCTTCCTCCAACTCCCCCTAATCCCCTCCTCCTACTTTTCTTTCCTCCCTCCTTCCCAACCCCCTCAGCTACAGCAGGCAGAGAGAAGAAGCAGTAGTTTGGGCTAGATTTAGTCCTTTAGTCTCTAAATCTGTCAGTGAGTATGTGGATGTGGTTGAGAGACCATGCTTTCCGGAGACCAGGAATAGCTCTGCTATCGGCCCGTGACTCTGGGATCACAGATGTGACTGAAGAAGCTCTCATACAGTCCAGTGCACAGGAGAGCCACTCTGAGCTGGCTTGATGACTGAAGCCAAGAAGCCAACACTCCACATAAAATACATTTGTCTTAGAATGTGCCTGGTGTTTATTTAGCTCCCCACCTCCTTCCAACCCACTCTTAAGAAACTCAAAGAACCTTGAGGGGACAGGAGTGGGAGGCTCCTGACAATGGGTCATAGCACAAGAGCAACAGTCCTTAGCACAATAACAGTACATCCATCAAGATGTGCTGTCTCCCTTTCCAGAATCATCTCTCTCCATTAACACACAGATTAGTCTAAATTTCTCACCCCAAGGCAGGGTGATCTGCTTTTCTACTTGTTCTTAAAGACCCTACCAGGTTAGGGTTGGTATCTTAGCTCACAAAGAACAAAGGTAGGAGCAGAGAATGGGTGACAAGGGAAATGAAACAACTTGATTTTCCATTAATGAAAAACAAAAGACCTTAAGAGTGCTCAATTTTAGCAGCAGATACAACTTTTAAAGGTTTTTGATCAGAATTGAGGTCCACCCATACTAATTTTTATTGCAAAATTCAATGAATGGTGCAATTTTTCTTTTATTAGTGTATGGTAGCCTAAACTTAAGAATTTATGAAAAGTCTAATTCCCTAGAAATAACATAGTAATCATATTTTAAGGTGCTAATGATATTACTTTTGAACACATTACTACTGTCAAATATAGTATCTTTGATCAGGAAATCCATTTCTCTAAACTGAAACCTGACTGACCCTTGAAAATCTTGCTTCTTTTTTGCTGCTGTCTCAAGTGGTAGCTGTTTACTTTCTCACATTCCAAGTGCCCCAGGGCTGAAAGCTGGAGGTTGGGATTATTATTTGCTCCTAATGCTACTTCTGGAGCTTCTCAATCTTTTTATTTAAAAACAAAACAAAAGCCAGTTCTCTTGAGGCAGCCAGAGGAGATTTTCCCCCTTCCTTGCTTCTGCCATCTACTGAGCTCCCCCTTACTCAGCATAGAATGGCAAGTGACTCACAGTATTCTTCATTCAAAACTTTGTCACTAGTCTTGGTGACCTTACTATCTAACGCATCTGTTATTATGGGCTCTCAGCATTCTGACCTCCCCAATTTCAATGGCCTAGTTCACACTCCACCCCAACTACTAAGAGTTCATGCATGGACTCTTTCTTTGGTTGTTCAGCACGCAGGTTGGGAATTCAGAGCTAGTTCAGTTTGTTCACCCCGATAACCCAAGTAATAGTGCTCATGCCATAGGACCTGTGCTCAGTATCCTCTGGCTCTTTTCAAATGATTCGTTCTAAAGAGTAAGGAATCTGAGTCAGCCAAGAGAACATATCCACTGATGCCCATGTATCCCTTTCTGGACCACTCTCTGGTGCCTTGGGCCACAGATTTTCCCCATATGGTCCCAAGCTCCTAGAGATGGCTCTTTGCAGGGGTGTGAGCAGACCTTGTATATTTGGGATTGAATGGTCACATGCATGAATATGAGGCCTTTTACAAGAGAAATGGGAGATGACCAAATATATTCTCATTCCTGATTAATTAGGATAGTTGATGCTTCTTTATCAAAGTACAAATTAGTCCTGTCTCGTAGCTTGGACTTATTAAGATACAGAATGATAGGGTTATTAATACTTATTTATAGCATCCAATCAATAGCAAAACCCTACTTCCTTGAACCTCACCTAACTCACCTAATACTAACCCAAATCCTCTAAGTCCTCTTTAACACACTTTTTCTGAAACAGCATAGTTCCCTATGACATCTGTACTCCCAGACCTAACTTTGCATATATGTGTTTTTCTAGAAGTTTTTGACTGACAGTTAAGTGCCAAAGCCTATATATAATAGCCAATATTTTATTCTATCATCACAGAATGTTACATCATGTAACAACTTAATAGTAGTATTAATATCATCATCAGTTCATATCATCATCTTCATTTTCTTCTTCATCATCAAGGAAGTAAGTAAGCTAGAGATACAGGCAATTATATGGGTGCTTCTCCTAAATAAGGTGAAGTTTGAAAAAAATAAACAACCAACCAAGACATAAAATAATGGATACCACAGTGTGAATCCATTTATAGCAAGTTAAAAAATTGTTAGAACTACATTGTTTCAGGCTGTGCAGCCCTGTAGTGCAGCAATAAAACTAGCAAAGTCACCATCACTGGAATGTTCAGGAAAGTGGTCATCTCTGGGGATAAGGAGGTCATTCTGATGGGAATGGGTACATGGGGCATTTTGGGGTGTTTGTAAATTTTTTATTTCTTGATATCATAGTAACATTATATTATGTGGTAGTTACAGTGTGCACACTTTATATCCATTAGTTAAATTGTAAAATAAATTGTAAATATTCTTTATTATGTATATTTCACAATGATAAGTTATAAGGAAAAAAAAAGAACTAGTGCTAAGTAGGCAATTAAATTGAGATTTTCCTCTATAAGGGAATTTCCTTGGATTATATTTAGCATGGATCAACTGACCTGATGCCATTATTCATGTATAAACTGCTAAACTTTAGCCTCTGAAATTGCAAAGATGATTAATGGGCTAAGGACTTAACTGTAGCCACTAGGACTTTCTACCTTACAGGCTTTACCCAAAGGGGTAAGGTCTCCCCAATAGCCTCTCTTAGCAATATTCATCTACTCTACCTTGAAGGATATTTCAGTTGTCATGGTGAACCCATGGGTGATGACAGGCTCCTCTTCTGCAGTCCGGCCCTTCCAGCAGTCCAACTCCACACAGCGACAACCAGACAGGAGCACTTGGCGATACATCTCAACAGACGAGTTTCCAGCCAGCTGGCCAGCTGTAAAATACCAAAATATAACTTTCAGAATCCCATAAAGCAAGGAATACATTGGTGGATTCCTAAAAATGTTCTTTGACAACAGAAAAACAAAGAGTTTAAGAACTTGAGCAGTTTTCAGCCTTCCAATGAACGAGAAGGTAGTGGCAAAATCCCAATTGTAATGGTGGTTCCTGACCAATGATTTGGGGGAAGAGAGGATAGAAGGAGGGCATTGTGACAATCACAATAACTCATTTATTAACTATTTACCGGGAAGTGAATTATAGTTCTCTGGACTTTACATGTATTCCATGTATTTTATTTTTTCCCTCAAATATCATTAATTTGTCAATTGTTTGCATAGCTATCTAATTCTGGGAGTATAACGTCACACCTCCATATGATCGCATGCTTCACTCACCCTCCACCAAAGCTCAACACCACTACCCCATCACAGTCCCTTTCCAGACTCTTGTCACTTCCTTACCATCCCCTCTGTAACCACTATAGTTTTCACAGAGTCTAAGTATTTTATTGTGCTTTGTTAGTTTGTTTTCTTTGTTTATTCATATTCCACAAATGAGGGAAGCCATTCAGTAACTGTCTTTCATTTTCTGACTTATTTCACTTAGCATAATCACCTCAAGATTCATTCATTTTATCACAATAGACACTATTTCATCTTTTTAAATAGCTGAGTAGTATTCCTTCAAGTATATATGCTACAAATTCTTTATCTATTCATCTGTTTATGGACACCGACATGTCTTTGTCAAAGATTAACTGTCCATATTCGTGTGGGTTTATTTCTGGATTTTCTGTTCTACTCCATTGGCCTGTGTTTTTGTTCCAGTATCACGTTTTTGATTATTCTCACTTTGTTTGAAGTCTGGGAGTAGGATTTTTTAAAGCTTAAAATCTGGTGAATTTTTCTTCTCTAAAATTCCCAACTTCTCTTAATTATGTCCCATCTATGCATTACATTTCCATTTGATTAGATCCACAAATAGAGCTTCTGGGGCCAGGGGATGCCAGGGTTAGGATTAATGATATGTCATGAGTCACTCAATCCTTGTTATTTCTGAAACTGGTATCTGACATCATCTCTGCCTGCCAAGAACACCCTCTAGAGTACATTCCAAGCCCAGGGTTGTACTTGGGCCCTGAAACTCCATCTCAGGTTAATTAATAATGCTGCCCCAAGTCAAAACTTTGCCACTTTTCACTTGACTTCATTTATTTTAGGCAGCTGACTACATTCACTTGAGCTTTGTCTCAGATTACCCAAGGCATCCAGGGATGGAAGAGACCAGAAAACTGAAAATAAAAATCCTTCCATTAACATAGGTTTCTGAGAATTTCTTTTCTTGACAAATGATGATTGTCTATGCTTATATCTATTGCCTTTTTTATTCTTTTTTTTAAGATTTATTTAATTTTATACAAGAGCTGGGGTATAGGCGAGAGGTGCAGGAGGGTGAGAGGATTCACCAGAGAGAGAGAGCGGGGAGCAGAACAGGCTGACTGATTGAAATACACTGCTGAGGGGAGCACCGGGTGCGAGAGGAGAGGTCCGCCTGGCCATGTGGGATTCTCGCCAGCCGGCAGGGATCGAACCGGCACTGCAGAGGCTGCGGAGAGCTTCACAGCGCTGCACTCAACCTGCTGCGCCACTGGAGAGACCCTATTGTCTTTTTTAAAAATGGTATTTTTTATTTGAAAATTTTGTTTATTTTATTTATTTTTATTTTTGTTTGTAAACATCCTTGTTTATTTTTTTCACAACATAGGATTTCTCCCCTCAGGTGCTGTCATCATAGTTTTCCTACCACCTAAGTACCCATAGTCCTCTACCACACTATGCTCTCCTCCTGTCCTTTACTCCCCCCCTTTTCTCCTGAGTGTCTCAGATCTACGGACAGTTTCCAAGGGTCAGTCTTACAGTTTCTGTGTCTGATCCTTTGTTTAGTTTCTCTAGATTCTACATATAAGTGAAACTATATGGTATCTATCTTTCGCCTTCTGGCTAACTTCACTTAGAATAATCCCTTTCAGTTCCATCCTGTTGCCACAAATGGCATGAGTTTATCTTTGTTGACTGCTGAGTAGTATTCCATTGTGCATTGTCTTCTTTTTGATATACATAAATGAGGAAAAACAAACAAGCTTCAGAATGTGATTTATTTAACTCAGTAGTCTTCTTCAATAAACATTGTCTCAATAAACAGCAACACGTGGAGATGGATACTATTTCTCCTTGCATTCAATTAGAGTAACACCATGGAGGTCACATAATCCTGAGGCTACTGTTGAAAATAGAGAGGCTGTATCATTTGCCTTTGTTGTCTCTAGGTGTATTTGACTGTCTCTCCCATTGGGTGGAACTTTGTCCTTGTGAGATCATGGAACTTTCTTGAATATAGATATAACCGCCATGATAAAGCTTACATAAGAAAGTGGGGAGAAAAAAAAAAAACTTGAAGCTGAGCTTTACTGATTATTAGAGCTTCGCCTTTAATTCCCAGACACATTCTCTACGAGAGGCAATATACTGGTTGCTGGGGATACTGCAATGACTCAAGACATATCTCTATATTTATGATGTAGAGAGGGAGGCAGATTCAAATAAAGGAGAAGGTTCTTATGTGCCAAGGAATTAACAATCTCACCCTAACCTTATACTTCAAGTTGCCTTTTCTTTCCCTTTCCCCTTACCAGTACAGAATATTCTACTTTGGTCCTGATAAGCTTCAGGTTCCCTTTCCCAGCCCTGGAGTAAATTCTTTGTAGCCAGTCATAGTAGTTTCACAGTGATTATTATGGGTAGTACTGAGTGACTTAATTTTGGGCTGTATCTGATAAGGCATAAAGGAAGTCCTTCGGTGAGGTTGTGTGGGGTATTCTTACTCTTATTAAGAACCAAGGACAGGGCAATTGTTTCATAGGAAGGTAAAGCTCAGGCTGCACAGTGATCTTGAAACTATAAGGATAGCAAAAACATGGAAAGCATATGGGTCTTAGCATCTGATATCAATGAATTCCTGGTTCAATCAAGCCTCAACCATTACACTTCCTTAGTTCCTGCTGTTTGAGGTAATAACTTCCTTAAAGAAATACTGTCCCCTTCCTTATAACTCCAAATACACTGGCTATTTCAATTTATCTTCATTTTATAAACAAGAAGCTAAGTCTTAGAAGAGCAAAGCATGTAATTTATTTCCAGACAAATTTGAACTTGATATGCTTATTTGCTAAGCTCATCTACCCCTCAACATTTATAGCTCTGTGTGTGCTTTACACCAAAAATGAGTGATTAAAAGTTGCACATGCTAAGGGCTAAATGAATGGAGAGATGTAATAGAAGGGAGTGGTATTCAGTTCGGGTTGGTAATGAATGACTGGCAAGGACAAAAAAATTAAATCTTGAAGCCAAGAAGATATATGTGAGGAGAAGAGTTGAATAACTATTTGAGATATTCAGATAATTCTGTTCATCAGCGGCCTCCCTGGTGACCTAGGGGTTAAGTATCAGCATTATCACCGCTACAGCCAAAGTTTGATTCCCACCCAGGGAGCTAACCCACATATGGCACAGCAGAACTCTCCTGTTTTGCCAGCTGCTCCTCTTAGCAGTGTATTTCAGTAGATCCATCTATTCTGCTCCCCTCTCTGTCTGATGAATCCTCTTACCCCTTGTACCACTGGCCTATACCCCAGCTCTTCTATGCAAAAAACCAAAATTCCATTCATCAGAGGAATAACTAACCCCTTAAAACCTCAAATGGAATGTTGTTGTTTTTTTTCCTACATGGAATAAGGATGCTAATTTTTCCACTTTGCCTTACTGTGATTATTGAGCCAAATGGTATCAAATGGTTTGTAATATGGTTTTCCAAATATATTATTTATCAAGTGCTGAAAAAGTGTAGGTTGAAATGATTGCATACTGTTCTGTCCTGAGAGAATTTTGTTTTGAGTCATAAGGGTAAATTCCTCAAGGAAAAACAATAATTTAAAACATAATCACTACTTGATGTACTGCCAAGACTATCTCAAACCCTAGAAAACGACCATTGTAATTAAAAATCACTCTGTGCATGTTTTTCTCTAAATTGTATGATTTATTTCCCCTTCTGGTAGTTTTATAGTCAACAAAGGGGCAATACTGAATAGAGAAATAAACATAATAATAATAATGCATTGCTAAATTGATTGGTTTTTATATTGCACATTTAATTTTTATAGCCCCTTTAATGTCCAAAAGAAATCTTTCTAGATACTGAACATTTTCTTGTATGATATAATTTCAGTTGAATTTAGACTACTATTTCTCAGGAATACAAGTCCTTAATGCTCCAGGAAAATAAGTAGGGTGGTAATGTGTGTGTGTGTGTGTGTGTGTGTGTGTGTGTGTGAAGGAGGGTTGATGTTAACTTTAATAATTGTGAATCTGGAAACTTTTCCCCCCTGAATTCAAAGCATACTGCAGGAATTGCCAACATTTGTTTATATCTAGTATTTTAAAAACTTACCTGAATAAGAAAATTTTTCTTTTTCTACAAAATATTGCTTATGTGAAAAATTGTTTTTACAGAAAAAGTTTCCATTTGTTCTGGAAATGGCTATAAAGTAGAAAATCTAGTAAGTTTTCTCACTATTGATTTTAATATTTACTTGAAGCCTACATTTGATTCTATTTTTACTTTATAATATTCTTAATTGGTTTTGGAAAGTTTGAAATTCTACATTATCAATGTTTACAGGTACCCAAAAGCACTTGAGAGAAAGGAGTTCTGTATCGGGCTTATCTGTAATTAAAACAAAGATACTAATGATATTATATGAAGTAAAACCAATATTTTACCCAAAAGTCAAAACAGGATTACAGGCAAAACCTCAAGAGCTATACTACTATTTATAAATAGTTTATTTGTGTTTTGCTAATTACATGGAATTCTCTTTACGTCTCACACAGGAAAGTAAAAGACTTTGGTACTATTGTGATAGTGTAAATTTAT